TATTATCTATTAAATTTTAAAATTTAAATATTAAATTAAAATTAAATTAAAATTAATTTAAAAAATTTTTTAAATTTAATTAAAATTAAAATTTTTAATTTAAAATTTGCTAAATTTATTAATTCAAAATTATTAATGCGTTAGAATTTATTTGATAATATAGAATGTACAGTGAAGCATAAGTAGTAGCATGATCAATCCCTCGCTTCATGATCTTTTTAATAGCTATTTAACTGGGTGCTAACTCTTCACTGCTATAAATGTGGTAAGTACAGGTTGTCGAGAAGATTTCAACGAGTAATTAAGCTATAAATACGACAATCTATTTATGTTAAATGAGAACCATAATACTTCATATCCCAAATAGGGTTGAATTTTACAAATTCCTTAAAATATTATATTTTTATTTATAAATTAAGCAATAAATAGCTACCGATTTTTAATTGCAAATAAAATTATACCAAATTCATTTCTAGTAAATGGAAACGAAAATATGAGTCCAATATCGTGATCCACAAATTCCACAAATTTTACAAAATACATATTTATTCTTATAAAAATATTGCAAGTACTTATTTCTTAAAATAACAAAACAGATCATCGTAGGAGGTATATAAAATTACGCCTGATTTACATTTATTCGACAAAATGTCTAACAGTCTGATTCCAAATTCCGAGACAAGAGCATCGAATTCCACAAATTCCACGAAATACGATATTTTGACAAAAATAAATAATTACGTATTTTAAACGTAACAAGGAACGTCATAGCATCGCGTATACGAAATGACACGAGACTTATTCCAGTAAAATACCAACCGTACCCCATGTCTTGTTACGTAAACTCCGCGTCATGAATCAGGGTGGTTGAATTCCACGAATTCCACGAAATATTATATTTCCGCTTCCACTTGAAACAGCAAATGGCCGCCTATTTTTTACCGTAACTAGAAGGATCATCGTACGTCGCGTATAAAATTATATCGGACAATTATGCAGCCGGGGGCAGGGTTAAAGGGAGGCGAAGATATGCCGGTCTGTAGCACGACGTCGGGGAACACCCTGCCCAAGTGGAAGATCGAGAAAGGGACGTCTGGTATTGTGTTGCAAATGCGACGTGACTTTGTCTGCGGCTGAAGCTCGATTTGAATGTGCCATTCAGAAACTTCGACTGTCGGGTCTCAAAACGTTGTTATAACATAGAAAGAGAGAGAGAGATATGAAAAAAGAGAGGGATAGAGAGAGACATCGAAAGAGAGACACAAAGAGAGAGAGATACGAAGAGATACAGAGAGAGATACGGAGAGATATGGAGAGATACAGAGAGATACGGAGAGAGAGATACAGAGAGAAAGAGAGAGGGTGGAGGGAGAGAGATAGCGAGATTAGAGAAAGCATAAAGAAAGAAAGACAGACACAGATAGAGAGAGAGAGAGAGAGAGAGAGAGAGAGAGAGAGAGAGAGATTGGAGAAAGCATAAAGAAAGAAAGAGAGAGAGAGAGAGAGATATTGTAGGGAGTGATATTAGAGAGATCAAAGAGAAAATAAAGAGAGAAAATAAAGAGAGAGAGGGGGGAAGAAAGAGGATGAAAAATACTGGGAACAGGGAGAGAGGGATTGATGAAAAGGAGAGGAGAATTATTGGCAGAAGGCCTAAATTTTGGTGAATCTCACGCACGTTGAGCTTCCCAACGCACATGCAGACAGGGGACGTTCGTACTTCAAACGACCATTCGAATTCATATGTAAATACGTGTCAGACTGAAAGAAACGAATCGTCCCGAGGGTAGGAAAAAAGGGACCACGGGAGAACGTTACGGATCGAGGGTTAAATGTTTGTGAAAAATATTCGTCCTACGTCTGCGAGCCACGGTGTCGATGGTTAGCACTCCTCACGATCGAGTGACGCCGAGTGTCGCCGATTTTGAACTCAGCGCAGACATTACCAAACGATTAATCCTTCCGCCCTGAAATAACGTGCTCGTCGCAGATGAAACGCTTCCGAATTCTTATAATCCTCAATTTTACAGGGCCGTTCGTGTACGTATATGTATATACGCTCTCTGCAACTGAATGTCCATTCTTTGGGGATGCATATACGAGTCTGAAGAGAGACTGGTATTGTAGGTTAAGCACGAAGCTAGGTTAGGTCGGACGAAAATTATTGAATAAATTGATAGTTCAAGTAAAGAGAGTTAATGTAATGATCATGCTTCCTGTAGTGCAGTACCGTGTATTTTTATATTTTACATGCTATAATTAATTATGGTTCAGATATTCGAACTCCAATCGTAGATTAGACACGAAGCTAGGTTAGGTCGGACGAAAATTTTTGAACAAATTAATGGTCCAAGTAAAGAAAGTTGGTGTAATGATCATGTTTTCTGTAGTAGAGCATCGTGTATTTTTATATTTTATATACCATAATTAATTATGGTTTAGATACTGGAGTTCCAATCGCAGATTAGACACGAAGTTAGGTTAAGTCGGACGAAAATTATTGAATAAATTGATAGTCCAAGTAAAGAGAGTTGGTGTAATGATCATGCTTCCTGTAGCGCAATACCGTGTATTTTTATATTTTACATGCTATAATTAATTATGGTTTAGATACTTGAGTTCCAATCATAGATTAGACACAAAGCTAGGTTAGGTCGGACGAAAATTTTTGAATAAATTGATAATCCGAGTAAAGAGAATTGGTATAATGACTACGATATCTGTAGTACAGTATTATGTATATTCATTTTTTTTGCGGCACACCATAATTAATGCATTAGGTATTAATTAATGCTTCAACCATGCATTAGGCGTGAAGCTAGGTTAGGTCAGTTGAAAATCTCTAAATAAATTGATAATTGAAGTAAAGGAAGTTGGTGTAATGATCAATCACGTTACCTATAGTACAATATCGAGTATTTTCATATTTTACATTCTTTAATTAATTATGGTTTAGATACTTGAGCTCCAATCGTAGACTAGACACGAAGCTAGGTTAGGTCGGACGAAAATTTTTGAATAAATTAATGAACCAAGTAAAGAGAGTTGGTGTAATGATCACATTACGTATAGTAGAGTATTGTGTATTTTTATATTTCATATGCAATAATTAATTATGGTTTAGAAACTTGAGCTCCAATCATAAATTAGACACGAAGCTAGGTTAGGTCAGACCAAAATCCTTCTGGACGAGAATATTTAAATAAATTGATAATCCAAGTAATGACTACGTTACTACGGTATAATGACTACATTATCTATAGTACAATATTATGTACATTCTTTGATTTTTTCGGCATACCATAATTAATCCTGGTTTAGATACATGACTTCCAACCATGCATTAGGCATGAAGCTAGGTTAGGTTAGGCGAAAATCTCTAAATAAATTGATAGTTCAAGTAAAAAGAGTTGGTACAATGATCAATCACGTTACTTGTAATAGAGTATCGTATATTTTCATATATAATATGCCATAATTAATTATGATTTAGATACTTGAGTTCCAACTGTACATTGGACATGAAGCTAGGTTAGCTCAAACGAAAATCCTTCTGAATGAGAATCTTTGAATGAATTAATACCCCAAATAAAGAGTATTGGTGTAATGATCTCGTTACTTGTAATATAGTATCATATATACAGGGTGAGTCACAAATTGCATACGACTATTACTTTAAATCTCGACACAGAAAGACAGGTATTCTATTAAAAGTTCAAGGTCACCGTAATATTTAAGTTAGAAATAAATGTATTTCAATATCATGGAATTTATAATTTGAGTTATCTTTTCATGGAACACATATTTCAGAAGTTATTTACTGTGAATAAATTATGTGACTCATCCTGTATTTATATCTTATATGTCATAATTAATTATACTTTAGATACTTTATCCTCGACATATAAATCTCTTCATTTCGACTAAACGAGTTTTATTTGGATTCTACATTTGCTACTTTCCAATTCGATGCTTGGTAATGCATGTCCATCAATGTCAAGGAACACTAATCATGTGTTAATTAATTTATTATTTATTTTCAATTAATTTATAACTAATCATAGTTATTTCATTGTGTACATATGTATGCTGATCACAAAATAAGATCTATAAACTATCTTCTTCTAAGTCGTCTTAACCCTTAACTCTCCGACTTTTAATTGTGAATATCGACCGGCAACTTATGCTCATCATACTTCGACTTGCAAGTTTTTAAGTGTCAGATTTTAAATGCTACAGTGACCTGTAAATAATAATATTAAAGTCATTCGAAACAATATTCATTTTGATTACAATGTTTATATTAATTATAATTGACCCAAAAATACATTTGGAATAGAGCACCGCACATCGATGGTGCCTGAGAGGCACACTTGGAGCGTTAAGGGTTAAAATTAGGGGTGGTTATCTATTAGTTCTTTATGTATCTTGGTAAAGCGAGTTGTTTCATCTCAAATTATAGCTATTTTCAGGTCCTTACGGATATCCTCATGCTCAACGTACCAGGCAGCGTCCATAATTTGTCTCGGATAAGCCGACTCTACGCGTTCCATATTGTACTGTGGGATTTTGCGGCTGTACTCCTTAACTGAATATCCTATATCCAAATTAACTTAACGATCTTCTTATATGGCAGTAATTTATTTTATACGCGAAGTTCATATTTTCTGTTGATTAACCAGAACATGTTCCTTTTTATCATTTTAATGCGTTGCATTTTTTCAGAAATTGAAACAAAATTCTCGGACTGCGAAGAGTCAAACATAAGTCTAACCCTTTCGCTACTATGGATGACTATAGTCACCGGTCATGAGACGCCATGTAGACACGACGGATGACTATAGTCACTGGCCACAAAAATTAAGACGAATACTCCCATTCCTTTTAGCACTCTTCGCAAAGAATTGGAAGCGTTATTGCGATGATCAGTTTTCCTTTTTCTTTTTTTTTTTCAAAAACTTGACCCCAAATGATAAAGAATAATATTTCCACCTATGGCACCTATGGTACCTATGGCACCTATGGCACCTATGACACCAATGGCACCTATGACACCAATGGCACCTATGGCACCTATGTTATCTATGGCACCTATGGCACCAATGGCACCTATGGCATCAATGGCGCCTGTGGCATCTATGGCACCTATGGCAACCTATGGCACCTATGGCGTCAATGGCGCCTGTGGCATCTATGGCACCTATGGCAACCTATGGCAACCTATGGCACCTATGGCACCTATGGAACCTATGGCACCTATGGCACCTATAGCACCTATGACACCTCATTCTACGAGGGCCTCCGTAGCGACACTCACCCTAGCGAAAGGGTTAAATAGTTTAAATTCCCATGACACGAATTATTATTAAAAATATCTACATCTCACAGAGGATCTATAATCGAAACTCAACGACTCGACTCCATGTCTAATCAATGACTCACGATCATTCCAATTCAAGCCTCATCCACCAGATCATCGACGACAAGTTCCACAGGGTTTCTCGAAATAACGCTAAAAACCCGGCAAGGTTCATCGTTGCCTGAGTTACCCGATGTACACATGACTCACAACTGTTTACGGAGCTGCTGGATGATTACAAATGTGGTGAACAGGAAATGCAAATAGATCTCTGTGATTTTTTTGTGCGCAATTGGCTCGATTCATGGAGGCAAACAGCACGATGCCTGCACCCAGAGTCAATTTGCTCGGTGTGCGTAAATATGTAATCGGTCCTCGTATACACATTGGCGCGCACATCGCCCCTGTGTGTGTACCGTTCGCCCCCGAATACAGCCCTGAGTACCCAATACTGATCGTCCACCTCGGTACATACCGATACTCGCTGTTCGACTGATCGAAATGCATATAAAATGGGTCCCGCGGATCTAAGGAAAAAGGGGAAATACCAGGCCAAGCAACGTGTGTGTGCGGCAGATATATTTTCCACGGATGTTTACCTGGAAAGATAGATTTTGGAAGGGAAGAGGAAGGAGGTGAAATAAATAAATAAACAAGTGGATGGAAGGAGAGAGAGAAATGGAATTATCGATTGCACGAATGGCTCGGGTGAATTGGTCGAGAAGGAATCGATGATTAAAGATTAAATCGATCGTCTCATAAAAATGCAATCGAATTAATGAATTTTAATTCGATACCCTGTCGCGCTCGGATGATAGCCCGGTCTCTCGATTAATTAATGCTGTTCGTCGATACTTTGACGGCAATTAAAATTTATCGATTTAGCTCGATTGCTCCCCACCTTCGTTGTATTTCGGTTCGTGCAGACCGTTTAATTAAATTTCGCTTTAGCGGGGGTACAAATGTGAACTATAACGACGCGGGGATGATTGTGAGCATGTGTTCATCGTGTGAGCTTGCGAAGAGGAGAATGAGTGGACGTTGGTAAATTGAAGGGACGTTGTGCAATGTGGGTAAGTTATTCGTGGGTTAATATCTGGGGAACCTTGTCGCGATGATTCCCCATAAGAGGTACGAAGGTAAGTAGGTATATTTTATCTACCTTTATAAGGTGTAAGAGTATGTAAGATTAGTCGCAGGATTCGCTTGATCTTTGCAACGAATGAACAAAGGAGGCGTTTGGAAACCCATTGATTCGTTGCAAGCTCTGTTAGAACTGTGTTGTCTTTAATTTTCGAGAATCCTGATTTTATTGATCATAGAATTTCTGACAGGCTATCTGAAAATCGATTAGAGGCTGATTTTCATCTTAAGAATACAGGAGATGTTTATTCTTCTGTGTATGTAGGATCGAATTTTGACTGGATTGACTGAAGATAGTATTGTTGGCTTCTTGATAGAATAAAATAAGCTTACAAATAGAATAACAGCTACGAAACAAGAGAAATTCGCTATGGGCACGCTGTTCTGATCTTTCTTAACCAGTTAGCTGTGGCACCCCCTTTTGAGAGCGCGCACCTATATGTGTCGCGAAAATCGAGCGATGACGAGTATACTCGTCAATCACAGAGTAAGTGTCGCTGTTAAAATATTGGATCAAAAAGATGAGTTTATTTTATAAAATTGACAATTTTATTACTAATATTTACTTATTTGGTTAACATCTATTCTCTTATTGGTTAGTTTTTATGGATATCTATGAATTTTAGTGACCGTCAAAAAATAGCTAGGTAACTTTGGGCCAGTAGCCATCAATGGGCTCAGCGTCTAGTCAGCGTCACGCATTTGTCCCGTGGCGGACCATCCCTGAAGGAACCCTATCATAAATCAGCTTCCCGACTTTTGCTTTTGCCCCTTTTACGCTGACATCTAAAAAACGTTATCATCGCCCATAAATAAATTCGTTATGCGAACTGATAAGCTGCTTCAGCCGGTGCCAAAATTAACCAGAATTAAAAGTTCGACTTATAAATCCAATCCTTACTACAGCAGTAAGGGTGTGAACGTTGGTCCACACGGGCTACAAACTTTTTATTTATAATTAAAAAAGGAACAAGATGGACTTGCACCACTTTCAAAATAAACGGTCCATATAATAATATTTCATAATTGTATTATGTATTAATAATGCTGAACAACAAAATTATAAATGAATAATATTAAATAACAGAATATTAGGTTGGCCAAGAATTTCGGTATTTTTGGTATAAAATAATACTCATTTGCTATGAAACGAGATATAATTTTATTGAATTTTGACCTATATCTCTTCATTGTTTCAGGAATAATTGCATAATTTTAATTAACCTGTTATCATGTTTAATGTGTTACGGACACTGCTTTGTGCTGAAAATAACAGAACGTCATCTATTGCGAAAGTCCGACACTATTTACTGGTCAAATTAGGATAATGATACTAAATAATCAATAATAATTATATGCAAAAAGTATGAACATATAATAAATTGTTAATTTTCAGCTATTAATTGTATCCACCTTATGCGATATTATAGAAGGGTAAATTATGTATCATTTCATATAACATACAGTGTCATAGTATATACATAAGCTGTGATATTCTGTATCGTGAAATACTATTTGATTTGGCGATTAGTTTCATATTTATTAATCATTTTTCACTACCCATGCATGGCCAATTGTTTCATAAATAAATTATACGTTATTACCAGTGTAAAATAATAGTAATAAATTTATTGTTAATTCGATGTTTCGGTATTTAATAAAATGGTTTTCAATTACTCGAATTTATATTATTTTTTAACTACTCGATGGAAAAGTATTTTCCAAAAATTTCTCTAAATGTGCTGAATAAAAAGAAAATGCTTGTTATCATTTGGGCCATAAAAAGAAGGAGAAATAGCCTTCCCCTAGAAGTGTCAACCTCATAAAATTTATTGCATCTTAAATTTGATTTAAAGAGCCATTTAAAGGTCTTTTTTAAAGGCTATAGCTCATTGAAAAGGGGGAAGAGAAATTTGCTAAAGCTTCGGACAAAACATGTGTTAGTGTGAAACCTTTTAACAGATGCAAATATAAGCATATCTGGGAGCAAAATTCGAATGGACGTAGAAATAATTTGGGAGTATCTCCGATATTTTATTTTCCATGAAACAATGATCCGAAACATATAGGGAGGGTTGTTAAAAAATGAATTTTATACACATACTAAAATCCACTGCACTGTAACCATCTCTCAATTCAACATTCATAGATGATAAAGTGAAAACAACTGAAAAATTTTAGAAAAATTTCCAAAGAATCACTATAGAGCAAAAATTATTGAAGCTTATGTTAGAATAGGGTTGTTAAAAAATGAATTTTATACACATGCTAAAATCCATTCCACTGTAACCATCTCTCAATTGAACATTCATAGATGATAAAGTGAAAACAACTGAAAAATTTTAGAAAAATTTCCAAAGAATCACTATAGAACAAAAATTATTGAAGCTTATGTTAAAATTCTATTGCATCAAATGCCTGTATATAATCAAGGAATTAAATATACATTTATATGACATAAATAATTTAAAAAATATAATAATTGCAGTATTTATAATGTAATATAATTGCAATCAATGTTTTGCAACTTCAGCGTTCCAACGTTGCCTCAGAAAGTCGCAAGGAAAATATGTTGAGTCTATCAGTTGCGATTCTAGAGGTTCAAAGGTTACAAGTATCTTACGCAAGTGCGATGACTAACAGACAGTGATCTGTTCCAAGTTGATGAAAACAGATAGGCTGTAAGAAAGGAATTGGCGAATTAATGCTATGACGTGACTGCTGATGGCAGACACTGATTACCACAAGTGGAAATTTAGATGAATACGAAGACGAGATGTGTTTAGAGAAAGGATAATCTCGTCATTTTTCAACCGGTTAAACGGTGAATAAATATAGCTGCTGGTAATTCGAGACTCTCTGCTGAAAACTGGATAGATGCATGCAAATCAGGATGGACAGCATCCGATCACGAGAAGACAGGAACAAATGAATTAGTTAGCACGAAGACTAATTGCAAGTTAAAATAGACATTTGAATAATAAAGATTTGCTTGCAATTGTATTATTATTTGATTACTCTGAAATTAGACTATCGAAGGATCCAGAATTCTCACTGAAAATAGATTGTAAATGTGTTTAAATACGAATGTGTCAGGAATAATAAATTAGTCCGCGTATCAATTAGGGTAAGTAACACGGATTTTCTTGCAATTCTACCATCGATTGATCCGATTGGAAATTGTGCCACGAAGAGATTGTAAATTAATATTGAAAAGAGAACATTCATGATCTGCATTTACCTAGGTATGAGGGAAGCAGGGGACAGTGAATTAGTTAGGATGTAGACTAATTTAGAGAAGGCAATCGAATAATAAAAATTTTAATACTGTTTAATTACTTTGGAAATTAAACTGTTCAGAGATGAAGAATTTCTACTGAAAATAAATTGCAAATGTGCTTAAATACGAAAGTGAGAGAAATAATGAATTAGTCTGTGGAAGATAATCGGCCAATTATCAGCCAATTATTTGGGTATTCAAGTGTATAGGTAAGAAGAATCTTCTAGTAACTTCAACATTGATCGAATAGTCTGGGAAACTATTTATTGATAAATTAAGAATTAATACTACTGCAAAGAAGATAGTAGTACAGTTATTGTTAAAGCTGACAAAAACAGGAATAGTGAATTAATTAGCTAGATCAGCTAGAGCAGACACATAGGTAACAAAAATTTTTCTCTGACTTAACATTGGCTGTATAATTTAAAAATTTGGTTACTGGTAAAATACAGATACACTTAGATACAAGTATAAAGAAAGCAGGAATATTAAATTAGCTATCTCGTGAATTGGTTAGAACGGGTGTAGGTAGCGAAGCCATAAAATCCATTAATCTAATGTACATGTTTCTTCAAAAGAGGCTCAGG